TCACTGGTTAAGCTTCACAGCTTCACTAGTTAAGCTTCACAGCTTCAACCAGCTTCACTAGTTCAGCTTCACAGCTTCACTAGTTAAGCTTCCCAGCTTCACTAGTTAAGCTTCCCAGCTTCACTAGTTCTGCTTCACAGCTTCTAGTTCAGCTTCAACCAGCTTCACTAGTTAAGCTTCACAGCTTCAACCAGCTTCGCTAGTTCAGCTTCACAAGTTAAGCTTCACAGCTTCAACCAGCTTCACTAGTTCAGCTTCACAAGTTTAGCTTCACAGCTTCAACCAGCTTCACTAGTTCAGCTTCAACCAGCTTTACTAGTTCTGCTTCATAGCTTCACTAGTTCAGCTTCAACCAGCTTTACTAGTCCAGCTTCACAGCTTCAACCAGCTTCACTAGTTCAGCTTCAACTAGCTTTACTAGTTCTGCTTCATAGGTTCAACCAGTTTCACTAGTTCAGCTTCAACCAGCTTTACTAGTTCTGCTTCATAGCTTCAACCAGCTTCACTAGTTCAGCTTCAACCAGCTTTACTAGTTCAGCTTCACAGCTTCACTAGTTCAGCTTCACAGCTTCAACCAGCTTCACTAGTTCAGCTTCAACCAGCTTTACTAGTTCTGCTTCATAGCTTCAACCAGCTTTACTAGTCCAGCTTCACAGCTTCACTAGTTCAGCTTCACAGCTTCAACCAGCTTCACTAGTCTGGCCTGCTGTTAAGAGGCCAGCATTAATTTTTTTGTTTTCTTTAAGAAAATACAACATAAATCATATATACATAACTTATATACAAGGCAATACATTATAATTCTCATTGAACAAGTGCTTTATTATCACAGAACATTAAAAGTCTCCGTGGTGTAGTGGTAAGACACTCGCCTGGCGTTCCGCGAGCGCTTTGTCATGGGTTCGTATCCTGGCCGGGGAGGATTTACTGGGCGCAATTCCTTAACTGTAGCCTCTGTTTAACTCAACAGTAAAATGTGTACTTGGTTGTAACAACGATTCTTCGCGGCAGGGGATCGTATTCCAGGGACCATAGGATTAAGGACTTGCCCGAAACGCTACGCGTACTAGTGGCTGTACAAGAATGTAACAACTCTTCTATATATCTCAAAAAAAAAAAAACAAAAAAAAATGGTCTTTAAAACCCCGGAATGTTATACTTATTTTTCTTTAAATGATGTACAAAAAATGGAGATTAAGATTTGTTGTATAAAATCAGATATGTAACTGTATAACCTTGCATAATAAAGTGTACACCATAAAGAAGGGGGGGGGGGTAGGAGAAGCGAACACTCTTACGTATTCAGAGTTAAATGGCAAGTTTTTTCCCCTGAATGCTCTGTGTTCCCTTCTCTGAGGCTGTGGGTCCCTATAATTGCACCAGAGGTGGTACCCCCTATATATAAAAAATGGATATTATATTACCATTAATTTACCGGGGAAACTATTACATTTATTTATATTTTGTATAATTAATTAAGCATTAATTACCAAAGGTGGGCTTGTAAGGATATGAAAAGCCAATTGTTTCAAATAATATGAAATGAAGTATTGGGAATTGTGAAGTAGTGTAGATTTTTTTTTTTGTTTTTATTTTGCCCCGAGGGGCGAGTTTATTGGGCAGCGCCACTCATCCTGTGAGTGGACACACCGCCATAGTGACAGTATTGGGCAGCGCCACTCATCCTGTGAGTGGACACCGCCATAGTGACAGTATTGGGCAGCGCCACTCATCCTGTGAGTGGACACACCGCCATAGTGACAGTATTGGGCAGCGCCACTCATCCTGTGAGTGGACACACCGCCATAGTGACAGTATTGGGCAGCGCCACTCATCCTGTGAGTGGACACACCGCCATAGTAACAGTATTGGGCAGCGCCACTCATCTTGTGAGGGGACACACCGCCATAGTGACAGTATTGGGCAGCGTCACTCATCTTGTGAGTGGACACACCACACACCGCCATAGTGACAGTATTGGGCAGCGTCACTCATCCTGTGAGTGGACACCGCCATAGTGACAGTATTGGGCAGCGCCACTCATCCTGTGAGTGGACACACCGCCATAGTGACAGTATTGGGCAGCGT